TGTGACAGATCTTCTGCAATCAAAATGCCCCATTTCCCAGAGTAGCTGTCACAGATTGATAACATCCATGCAAAAAGTTAAGTACAATTATGTCTGTCACTGAGAAACAGACTTTGGGACCTGTGACTGACAACTCACTGGAAGCTGACAAATCACTGGAGATCACGGGTATACCTCGGAGGAGCGCCAGGCCACCTTCTAAGGGACACATGGGAGGAGGCTCGGGAGGCTGCCCCTCAAGGGAGGCTGTGGGCCCTGCAGCCGGGAAACGAGCACGTGCTTTATGGCCTGGTGGGACAAGAGCCCTTGCTCCTGGGGAAGGGCAGCGTCAGAAAAGGGGGCACAGGACATGGCCATAGCCCAGGGGCTGTGGGCAGTGGCTTCTCCTTTAGGACAGTGGTGTGCACCGCTGGACACCCCAGGCAGAGATGAAGGGACCAACATTCCAGCTCTTCCAGGGCAGCTCCAGCTGAAGGCTGAGTCTGCATGAAACGTCCTGCAGCTTCCAGCAGGCTGGGGTCCAGGTACTCATTTCAGATGGACACCACGGGGGCAAAACGATATGCCTCACTCACGCAGGCCAACTCTGGGCTAGGACTGTGAGTGGACACTGTCGGGGCCCCGTGTTCTGCAACGCCTCTGTATACTGCCACCCCAGGCTGATGCCACTGCACCCACTCAGCCACCGTCCAGGCTTCCTTTAGTGTCATCAGCACTGAGCGTAGAAGGCAGTCCCTGCAGCCATATGAGCAGGGCTGAGGCCGAGGCCCTTTCTCTACGCCCTCCCTGCCCCTGCAGGACTCCCCGTCCCACTCCAGGCACTCTCACCAAGGACTCTGCTGAACTCGAATTGCTCAGGGAAGATGGTCTTTTTTGGGGAGTGGGTGGTACAGGAGATTGAACCAGGGCCTCTGTACTGAGCTATTGCTTCAGCCCTTGTTTATTTTGAGACAGGCTCTTGTTAAATTGCTCAGTTGCTAAGTCACTAAACTGAGCTTGAACCTCCGATCCTCCTGCCTCAGCTTCCCAGAGTGCCGGGAATACAGGGGTTGCGCCACCACAGTCTGCAAGATGCTATATTTCGTAAATAAAGTTTAAGAAGTGTGGTTACTCTAATGCCATCAAAGGCCTGAAAAACTCTAATGCTATCTGACCACCTGGGCAATCGGGCGCTTGTGACACTTCCCCTCCCTCCCACCCCACAGCTTTTTCCACACCACAGAACTCTGCTCGTGTAGTTTATTTATTAATTTTTTTAAAGTAATGAAACCAAACATCCAGCATTGAGTTCTGGTGGCTTCCAGAAGGCTTCTCCTTCCCGTCCCACCCCTAAACACTTCTACCCTTGACACACTGACCACTGGGCATCCAGAACTGGCCACTGGTCAGGTTAAAGCTCAGGCAGCTGTTCCATGGGTCACACAGTGGTAATGCCACCTGACAGGGTGGCCAGGGCATGGACAGTGGACAGTGGACGCTACCCGCAGGCTGCGTTCCACGCTCCCTCACCTAGTGGCCAGCTTGCCCCCTCACACACGTGCTGCCAGCCCATGCTCTGTGGATCAGCTCCTGTGCCGTGGGCTGTGTGACCCTTGGCAGCCTTCGTGTGTAGCCTCGCCTCTCATCTCCTGGATCCTGCTGTGCAGTGGCTGTGAGCAGATGCGGAGCATTGATTCTGTCACTTTGCACATCGGCACTCCCTAATGACTCTGTGTCATCTGCAAGTTTGATAAGTGCGCCTCTGACGGCTTTATCAACTGCTGATTCCTCTGCTCAGCAAGCTGGGGCCAGCAGCACATCAGGCCAGCTCCCCATCGACTGAGACCCACTTGCTTGTCCACACCGGGAGCTCCTGGTTCTCACTCTGCTGGATCCCTCTGCCTCCCAGAGCTTTTCCAGACCTTTGTCCTGGCCCCTGGGAGCAGAGCGCAGTGTGAGACCCCTGAGTATGCCCCTGTATGGGGAGGGGGTGTTGCCCAAGCCAGGCAGGTGCTTCCCCTCTCCACACCCTGTCCACGGCAGCAGCACTGCTGAGCAGTCGGAAAACCCTACCTGCCGGACACTTGAGGCCGACTCACAGCCAGGCTGGCCCTGAAGAAGGATGAGGGGACAGACATTCAGGGACCTGGCCAGACATTCTCCTCCCCTCACTGGGCAATGTGCATGAGGGGTTTGCAGGGTATGGGCACCCTGCACGGGGAAGATGGGGCTCTGTGTCTTGGGGGAAGCAGCCTGCCCTTCTTCACTTGTCACCTGCCAAAAGCAAGTGTGCAAGCTGGATACTAAACGCACAGAGGAGGCGCTCTGCTGGCCACTTTATGCTGCCTTTGGACACAAACGCCATCCAGTTCCCTGGACAGGGTCAAGGAGGACAGGTCTCCCCAGATCGGCATCTGGTGTCACCGCGAGCACGTTTCGCAATAACGAAGACACCACAGGCAGGTCACTCCCTCTTGTTCCAGGAGCAGTGCCTGCCTCCAGAAAGGGAAGCATCACTGCTAGGACACCAGGGTCACCAAAAGGCCCTTTTGTCTGAAATTGCGTTGAGATGACAGTTGTCTAAAAGTGATGACAAAAACTGGAGGTGCCTTCTAGCTTTTGAATGCCGGGGCTCAGGGAGGCAGTCCACTGCCTAGGCTCCTCCTTCCTCTTCCCCCAGCTGGAGTGCTGGAGTCCATAGGGAGAACAGCCAGGTGTGTGCTTCCCACGCCTCACTCCTGCCTGCCACCTGCCAGTCAGTCAGTAGAGGGCGCTGCGTCACCACTCTCCGTGCCGCCTTGGCTTCTGCAGCCTGCTCGCTGTCCACACAAAGAGCACACTGAAGACAGGTTACTAATCCTGTGGTTCAACACTCCAAGAGAAAACAGCACAAACCACAGACCTGCCGAAACACACTGTGCTATCACTTACATAAAAAGTACACAGGAAAAAGATTGGAAGCAAAATCTTAGAAGCATTTGCCCACTGGAGATGGACTTTGTTTTCCTATTATTTTCTGCCCATTTCCCACAAGCCTGTGTTGCTCTGGTAATTGTAAAGCTTCCGTAGTGCTCTGAGATTCTACAGTCATTGGGGAAGGGGCTGCGACACAGGGAACACGTATGGGGCCAGGAAGGTGCCAACCGGGGAACTCCTGGGGGCTGGAGCCTGCTGTGCCTGAGGAGGGCCTAGGTCTTTACCCTGCACAGAGAAGGCTGAACTGTCTCTTCTGAGTAGTTTACAGACCCCTGACACCTCCAGGAATAAAGTAACATACTCATCCTCACCTAAGTCTTCAATGAAAATTCAAGTGAGAATTCAGCATTTCATTTTTTAAAAAATCAAAGATATTGGGTAGGAAAATACTGCAAAAGAAAATCCCTGAGAAACCTCACAAAAGACAGAAACGATAACACCTGGTGAATTAGGAGCTTGGTGAGGTGCGCACGGCACCTGTAAATCATGGGGCAGCAGAGAGGAGAGCTTGGGACAGACAGGGCTTCCTACCAGGCAGCATTAATGTACATGCAGTAATCCTACTGCACTCTGGCCGGCTTAACTCAGCCAAATTAGAATACATTTTATATTGACTATTTTGACATTTGTTTTATTTGGCAAGTAAAACAAAACTGATCCAATTTCCTTGCAGCCATTGTAAACCATAAACTGTACAACAAAGGTTATAAAATATATCAGCCTTATAAACGCTTTGTTCTGATACCCTCTGATTCCATCTGGCTCCCCGTGGCGGGGGTACTCAGCCTTGTGACCCCAGTGACAGGTGAGCCTCCTCCCCTGCTGACTGGAGCTTCTGAGAGAGCACTTTCCCCCACTTCACCTGGGAAATGCAGCTTCATCCTTACGCAACTGGAATTGAACCTGGGCTCAGTGGTTCCCTTTTCCAGGCCTTTCCAAATCCTGTGATGTCAGCCAGGAGTGGCTGTAATCATGGAACTGTGTGGCTTCCTGGGCTCTGCAATGCGCCCAAACCAGAGCTGACCCCAGCACAGATGACACCTATCCCCTGTCCCGTGACTGTGCTGTCTTCCTCCTGGGAGGGTCTGCCCATCTCTGTTCACCCATGTGGAAGCTTTGCGGTACATTCTCATTTACACACTCTTAATCTGCAGAGGACACCATCTAACCTTCACTGCTGTTTATTTACGTTTGCAATCCTTTTCTCAAATTTAGTCCACCATTGCTGCTTGTTCCTTTCCCTCAAACGATTTACTACTGGTGATGCATGAGTTTTTGATTTTTTATTATTTTTACTGCTGTTGTTTTGGTTTTATGAAATGAGGTCTTGCTACATAGTTCAGGCTGGCCTTGAACTCACTATGTAGCCCTGGCTGGCCTGGAACTCACACTGATCCTCCTGTCTCAGCCTCCCACAGTGCTGGACTGTAGTGTGCCACTATGCCCCCTGCAGGGGTGCTCAGCCTTGTGCTCAGACTTTTAATATGACAGATTTCTCTCACCATCTGCATTTTGCAAAAAATGTAGACTATATGCCTTCTATTACAACTGAAATTAGGTGAAGAGTGGACAGCAGTCTGATCCACTTCTTGGCTTATAGCTCACTGGGAAAGAAGAGAAACCATGTAACGAATATGATTACTGACAGAGACTCTTGAGTCCCAGATAAATTGCTGGCTGAGGCAGACAGGGAATTCTGCCTACTGGAGGCCAGAAATCCCAGCCATGTGGTTACTACACATGAATCTATGTACATCCATGAGCTCTTTCAAATACCAAGCCCATTTTAAGTGCATATTCTGCTGTTTCAGGAGCCTGCAGCGTAGGCACAAAATAGAATTTAGAGTGACCTTTACACTCATAATGCACAGATTCCTACCTGGGCTTTAAAAATCCCCTCTAAGGTGTGTGTGAATTTAGATTAAATGTCTACAAGTGTCATCTTGTACCCCATGCCATTTTAGCAGATCCGGAGTGATGTGTGCCGGAATGTGCAGTGCACACCCAAAGCCCCATGACCCCAAGACACCACCCAGCAGCCTCACCTGGGAAGGTTGGGGGCTGGGGTGGAAGCAGCTGATGACTGTGACGGCGTCGTGGGTTGAGATGAGTCGTGGTTTCTTGGCACTCGGCCCATTCGATACCAGATCCCCATGCTGTTCAGTTCCCTTTTGGAGAAAAGAGAAATGGTCATGGTCTCCTTGGGCTGGGAGCATTTACTGGAGCCACAAAACAAACCAACTCCTTGGAAAGTCAAAGCCTCAAACCCCAGGGAGCCAGGTCTTGCCTAGGTAAGATGGGTCACAGCCAGAGCCTAGTGTGAGTGTGACTGTGCCACCCAGGGAGGCCTTTGCGACACGGCCATCCCCTCCTGCCACCCTGAGCTGCCTTCCTACCCTGGCTACATTCTCCTTGCTCTCAGTCCTTGAAATGCTTCGTGTTTCCACCTCATGGTCATGAGCTATGTGACAAGCGATAGGAAGTGACATGTAGTTAGAGGGGGATGGTGGGACGGACAGACTGACAGACACATTTGGCTGGGTCTTAGCCATGACAGGGTTAACCCCATCCTATCAAACACACCCCCATTTCAGGATGCAGCTCCTCAGAGTCAGCACCATCATAGAGAACTTCACTCCAGTCAGATCATTTGGGGAGATATCATCAAACCACATGACCCCAAGCCTATGCCCCATGGGTCACCACAATTAATAGTGAATACATACTGTGTCTGGCATGACAGCCACAGGATCCCATGTTGTGTTGTGGTCATGAGACAGGGACTTGAGATCCCTAAATTGCCGAGGCCAGGCTTGAATTTGCCATCCTCCTGCCTCAGCCTCCCAGACTAATAGGATTACAGGTGTACCTTGTACAGGAGTTGTACCAGGGTGATTCTAGCCATAGACAGCTTCACTATAACCCCAGGCTGGACATGTGTATAGCTCAGTAGAACACAGCCTTAGCTTGTGCAAGGATCTGAGTTCAGTCCCATACATCAAAAAATAAATGGAAGGGACTTCCGGAAGAACATGGCGGATAGATAGCAGCAGCTATGGAAGCTCTCTGAGACACCCCGCTTAAAATCCAGGAATAGTGCGGTACGAGGAGTCCTAAGTAAGGGGAGATACACCTGCTGACCCAGGAATGAACTAAGCTAAGAGAAACCAACTGGAAATCCAATCCTGGTGCTATAACAGGAACAGATAAAATCTCAGCGCGGAAGGTAGAACCCGCGCCACTGGAAGCCACGATTTGAATTGCCTGCTGCCGCTGCTGCATCCAAATCTGCTGGGCAGGGAGAGAGATGCACGAAAGCTCTGAGAGTGGGAATCTGCGAACGGAGTTGAGAGCCGGACTAGCAGGGAGCCCTACATCAACTTGCAGTGAGTGAGCAGACGGGGACCCTTTCATAGAGTAGGAGGTTCCAGCAAAGGACATGCTGGGACTGGGCAGACTTGCCGGAACAGGACGCTGCAGTGACATTAGTTGCATATTCCCCTCTCAAGTGTGATTGGTGGGGAGTGCTGGCCTGCGTGACGCCTCTGACTAAGACCCAGTAGGCTAGTCCAAACCAGGTCCCAGTGCCTGGAGGTGCACCCTAGCAGTGAAGCCTTCGGTAGGTTGACCTGGAGGGGTGGGCCCATCAGAGGCTGCCCAGGTCTGTGTCTTCCTAGTATACTGCAGTGGGCGGGAACACCCAGCCGGCGCAATTCAAACAAACCATAACCGAAAAAGAGAAAAAAATTGGGCCTCCTACATTCACTTGTATGGAAGGAACAAAAAAGTATGGGAAGAGGAAGCAACAAGAAAGGGTCCTCAGTCCCCAATCCTGAGAACACTGATCCAGGAAAGGGAAACACAAAGGAAGACAGAAAACATGCAATATCAGACACAGCACCAATAGACATAAAGCAATATCTCCAGAGCCTCATAGATGAGTTTAAAAATGAAGTATTTAACGAAATAAAGCAAGATATAAGTAGAATAGTTAGAGAAATGCTAAGCACCACCCAAGAAAAAACAGATGGTGGGATGGAAGAACAGAAAAAAAGGGGAGAATTGTTTGATGGAGAAAATAGAGAAAACATAGAATACATGAAGCAGGTTCAAAGAGATTACCAGGAAACTAAAAACTCTATAAAAAGCTGGCATAACAGCTTGAAGGAACCTAAGGATAGATTATCTGAATTGGAGGGCAGATTTGTAATTTGGAAGCATGAAATGAAAAACTTCTTAAAAATAACAAGAAAACAAACAGCAATAATACAAAGGCTAAAAGACAAGAGGATCTATAACTTAAGAATTAAGAACATAGAAGAAGTAGGGACACAAACAAATGGACTACAAAAGCTATTCACAGAAATAATCCAAGAGAATTTCCCTAATTTAGCAAAAGGTAAAGATACTCAGATGTATGAGGCATACATTGGGTTGTAGGCAGCCACCTACAACCCAAACAGAGCTACACCAGGCATATAATAATCAAAATTCCAGAAATCCAATATAAGAACAGAATACTAAAAGCCGTCAGAGACAAGAAACAGCTCACTTACAAGGGAACACCCATCAGAATTACAGCAGACTTCTCAGCACAAACCATCAAATCACGAAGAACATGGGGGGAAATAATTCAAGCTGTGAAAGATAACAACCTCCAGCTAAGATTGATATATCCTGCACAACTGTCCCTAGAAACTGATGGAAAAACAAGGTGCTTCCAGGATAAAGAGGAACTAAGGGAATTTGCAACCACCAATTCAACTCTACAGAGAATACTGCAGGACATTCTAAAAAAGGAAAATACCAAGATTCCAGAAACAGTGGCAGAGAGGCCATAATGAATGGAGCAGAAAGCGAAATGAAGAAGACAAACTGACAACAAACAACAGAAAAAGAGCTCAACAGAAATGAGGCAGAGAAGATTGGATGGTAGGAACAGCTATTTTGGAGAAAACAAGACATCATAATAGCTAGTGCTGATTTAGTGTCATCTTGCTTTGAAGTCCCATCAAGCTTGTATTCTTCTGTCTCCATTAGTCTTAACAGGTTGTATCTTATTGGATTTTATTATATGTGATAATATAAGCAAAAACTTTTATAGACAAGGACATTATACAGAAACCATTGTTCATTTTCTGATAGTTGGTTCTAAATACCCTGTAATGCTGTCATTCTCTTGAATGGTTTTACATTGTCTTGATATGTTTGGTGCTACCGTATATGAAGTGATACTCAAAGATTTCAAGGAAAGAGACACTATGGTAACTACTTTTATGTCAGGATATCTTGTGGTGAACACTATTTTGCTTAAATGGTTATGCTTTGACCTGCGCTGTTTTGTTGTTATGCCCTCTTTTATCTCAATCTCCTTTTTTAAAATTATTTACTTTTTTATTTTTATCTTTTTAATTAAGGGAAAAATAAAAAAATAGCAGGATACATTATAGTAACCTACTTTGATTTCCTATTAACTTGATTTGAAACCCTATACAGCCCTCACCATCTTGCTTTGACTGATTTTCCTCTATTGTGCTTTGATTGATAGTACCAAGTTCAAAAGTATAGGCAAAACTGTGAAGGCAATAAGATTCATTATGATGCCCATTCTGGTTGACTATTATCTTCTTTTAAAGTCCTGTAATGTCTCCAATGGTTTTATTCTTTACTGTTTTGTTCAATTTTATTATAACTGATGATATAAGCAATTCTTTTTAAGATAGCAAGAAGCAGTATGGTAACCACTGTTGATCACCTAGTATTCTGTTTTTACATTATCTATTATGTCCATCCTTTTGATTTGACTGACTCTGTTCTGTTATGTCACATTTGGTTTTACTCTCTTCAAAAAAAAGTGGGGCTGGGGATTTAGCTCAGCAGCATAAGCACCTGCCTTGCAAGCAGGCAGTTGTGAGTTCGATCACTGGTACCGATAAAAAGACAAAAAAAAAAAAAAGAAGTAATAAGAACTGTGGGAGTAATAAAACCCAAAATGAGTAATTGTCATTGTACAAAAGAAAGGAAAAGAAAGTGCTCTAAAGAATATAACTGCATATATATTTAAGTGTATAAGATAGATAACCATATCACTGAGCTTTGTTGGATCATTGAACAGAGCTGTTTCCAGTCTCACTGTTTGAAAGTTCACTTTATATGCTTTAATTTTGTAACTTGAACAACTATTTCTAAGATAACAATATGTAATCTATTAACTAGTGATTTACTATTGTTTATTTTTTCTGAAATTCTGTATAACTTGTACCCTTTTTCTGTTTTTTTTTTTCTCTTGAAATAAAAAGAAAAATAAATGGAAAACTGAAAGAAGGACCCCGTGGTCATCCCCCTGCTACGCTGCATGTTCGAAAATCCTGTTTTGTAACATGGTTTAATTATGGAAGCAGTACTGCAGGGTAGGAGGCAGTTAAAGAGAATAACCATGGTTCAGTAACTTGGAACTGTGTCTTTTGGACCAGAGGCAAATGAATAGCATCCCTTTCAAGAGCCTCACAGAAAAATTTATTCTATGGTAAGCTTCTCAGTGCACCCAGGAGCTCTTCTAACGCTCAGTTCTGTCAATTCTGATCATGTACTCTAGTTTCAGTGTGTCGTGATCCAGACTGCCAAGCTTTGGAGTGGCCCTTTGAACTGAGGTGTCTATCACGCCTGTGGATAACCCTGTGACCCCGTTCAGTAACATGTGGAATGGTACCTGTTTTACAAATAAGTAATGCAGTGTTGCAAATACGGAATTCTTTCTTTATTTAAAAATAACTCTATTTTTAGCCGGGTGTGGTGGTACAGTCCTGTAATCCCAGAACTTGAGAGGCTGAGGTAGGAGGGTCACTGCAAATTCGAGACCAGCCTGGGCTACAACAAAACTCGGGCAAGCTGGGGATATAGCTCAGTGGCACAGCTGCCTGGCAAGGGCAAGGCTGTGAGTTCAATTCTTGGTGCCAAAAATAAATTAATAAGTAAATAAATAAAGTAAAATAAAAATAACTGGCATTTTTCCTCTGGAAAAGGATTTTTAGCCCAGGATGGAATTAAACAACACATTAACAATCTTTCCAAAATAATATAAAGGAAAAAAATTCCAGTTTTGGTGATCAAGACAAATACTAGTAAAAATCTATTACTTTAGAATTGTTTAAATTGGTTAAAATTGCATCCTTTTATAATAGCATAGTTTATAGTTGGAATACACATAGTTACTAAAATTGGACTTTAAGAGTTCATTACTAAATTGTTGGCTTCTACTATTTGTATGTAAATGGCTGCTTCCAAGTTATTGAACTATGGTTATTCTCTCCTGTGATACTGCTTACATAATTACAAAACAGAATCTTTGAACATTAAGCATAAGAGGGGGATGACCACAGGGTCCCCCTTTCAGTTTTTCATTTATTTTGGGGGGTATGGGTCTGAACCTGAATCCCTGCGTAAGCTAAGCCTGTGCTCTACTGAGCAACACGTATGTCCAGCCTGAATCATTATTGCTGTCCTCCTCTTCCACCATCTTTTTGTGGTAACGGGGATTGAATTCAGGGCACTGACCCACATCCTCAGTCCTTTTTACACTTTAAATTTTGATACAAGGTACATGTGTAATCCCAGCACTCTGGGAGGCTGAGGCAGGAGGATGGCAAGTTCAAACCCAGCCTTGGCAATTTAGGGGCACCCAAGTGCTTAAGAACCACAAAATCTTGACCATCTGAGAACACATCTGGGGACAAGTGTGATGCCCACAAAGTGTGACTAGTGGGAGAGGTGCATGGCCAACCAGGCTGAAGACCACCGCCACAGATCTGCCCGGGAGCCTCTAGTTTCCATTTTGATTTCTACCTTGCCTCCATATTTTTGGGGCAGCCACCCACTCCCTGATCATGCTTGAGTTCCAGTGGAGCTGACTATGTTTCCTGCTCAGCCAAGTTAAATCAGAGAAGGACATTTTCCAGATAACAGTGACCAGTTCAGGGTGCCCAGCCAAGACCGAGACTGCATTCTAGAACTTCTGCATGAACCTGGAATGTAGCTTCCCCGGGCCTCTGGACTTGACCCCTGAGCAAAGGTGCTCCACTGTGGTTCCCTGGGGTGATCAGGTGTCAGGTGCAGTCCACCTGGAGGACTGAGAGCAAGGAGGATACAGGAAGCTGAGTCCTAGGCCTCCTTTGAGTTCCTACTTCAGCCACCAGAAGCCAATCTGTGCTCTGAACTCCCTTATGCCAGCCACAGGTAAGCCAATCTGGACCGGGTTTTCTGTCACTTACAACTAACAGAGCCAAGAGTGCTGTCTTGAGATTCCACCACACTTAGTATTTGTGCAGCAGTCACAGGGCCAGGCCTTTGTCCCAGGCTGATGCTGCCTGGGAGCAGGACATGAATGAGCCCTGGCCCAGCAGATGAACAGCAGACTGCAGAGACACAGCGAGCTTTCACGGAGCATATACCTGTGTTTCTTCCCAGAGCAGAATAAAACCCAGGCAGCCACCATGTCCTCGGAGGCTCTGCCACTCTTCACAGCCCCAGTGCTCAGCCCCTGCTTGCACTGTCCAGCAATGCACCCTGCTCCTTGGCCCTGGAAGTGGCTCTGCCCCTCTTCCCACTGACACTTCTGCTCGGCCCAGCATCTTTGCCGTCTCACCTCACACCGAGTTCTAGGATTTCACCCCAGCTCAGCACCCAGGGAAAGCAGCAGGCAGGAGCAGTGTCCCCGGGACTCACCCAATGAATGTGTACTGAGGAGGTGCCTGCTTGGTCCGGCCCATGATCCGAATGTCGCAGATGGCGGCTTCGGTTGAATCCCGGGGGATGAACTTAATGCAAAGCCTCTTCTTCCTAAAAGCCACCTCCTCTGGAGGAAAGGACGACAGAGAAGATGTGAGTCTCTGGCCATGCCACCCTCCGCTCTGACAGCCCTGTCTCCTGCATGGCCCCTTCCTGGAGGCAGAAGTGATGGTTACCCTGGTCCCCCAACAGGAGGGCAGTGCTCTACCTCGTGTCTTTCTCAAGCCTTTGGCGGACAATGGACTGTGACCACAGGGTTTGTCAGTTACCGTGCCCCATGCCCAGCTGAACCCATGCACACCAGCTGGGAAGGGTTAAGGTCAGGTTCAAAGTCAGGACCCAGGAACCCACGTCTCTGCAATGAACCCCAGAGCAGTTCTGAAGTCCTCAACCACAACACACACCGTGGCCCGAGGCTCCCTTTCTTTTCCCTCATGCATGCCACAAAAAAGAGGGAAGAGCAAAATGAGTCCCACTGTCCATACCGCAACAGCGGACAGGCTGGTTCCACGGCTCCCCCAGCTCTCCAGCTTTGCAACACATGTGGAATGGAGCCCCAGCACCACCCTGTGCGCCCAGCTCTGTCTCAGCAGGCATCTGTGATGGATGGTTGTTGCACCATGACGACCTTGCCATGATCATTCCTAGTGAAATCAACAAAAATCCTTAATATCTCCCAACAGATGGGCTCCATTTATGTTTCTCCATCTCAAGATGTCGCTGTACAGTTGGTTTGTGTGGGTCAAGGCTCAGGTGACATCCACGTCCCGCCTTGGCTGCCGGGTCTCTTACTCTGTAATGATCTCTTGCAGCTTCCTTGTTCTTCAGGGCACTGAAAGGCCACCGAGATGAGCCCACTTGCTGCTTTGTGCTTCCTGTAACAGGACGGAGCTAAAGGTGGGGGCAGACTGCCTCTGAGGGCAGGCGGGCTCACAGGTGGCTTGCAAAGAGCCACCTCCTTTGATTGGGTTCCTGAACTGTCAGCCTGTGACCCCCCATCTCTGAGTTCTCCAACAACCCCTCAGAGCAGTTTTCCTATCTGCAGTGACAGCTGTGAAGGTCCGTGCTTCTACCAGGGTTTCGGGATGACTGTTGGCTAATCCCATCATCCTCCGGCATCGATCAGCTGGAACTCTCCGTAAAAATTGTTTTTCTTCACCAGCTTCTCAGCCTCCCTGAAGTAGTTTATCTAGGACAGAGTGTGTGGTTCTTTCCTCGTACTCATCAAGTCTTAGTGTAATGATTCGGTCCTTGCAACTGCCAGTGGTCACCAATGAGGTGGGTTTTTTAAAATTATCTACTTGTGGTTTTGAATACATATTTCAAACAACCCATGAGTCTGTAGAATCTGAGTTGAAGCTGTCTTTCTGCCATGTTCTGGTACTGTGCCCTTAGGTGGGTTACTTAGTCCTTTTGAACCTCAGTTTTGTTATTCGTAAAGAGATTGGTTACACCCCACCCCACAGGGACTTCCAGTGGACACAAAGTGATAATGCTTGATTCCCTTGGTCAAGGCTGGCACATCGTAAGTGGTCAGCAAAGAAAAGCCAGGAGGAAGCTTACTATCAAAATGACAAGGGTGCATTGAGTACAAAATTGATGTCTCCGCTTGGTATTGACCTTTAAGACCTTCCCATTTTGTGGCAGAAAACATGAACATTCGTAGCACATTTAAACCAAGGAGTGGGCGAAGGGGTGGCAGCCCTGCCTGCACGTTCAGCAAGGATAGAATTTGTGGTACTACTTGGCAGTTGTTGTTTTCTGGGTTGAGGGTGGAAATATTTTAAAAAGCCAGATTGAAACTGGAAATGCTGTGAGTCCTTTTCCCAGGTGTAGAAGTGGGGCTGAAGCAGATCTGATCACAGATCCCAAACAAACGCCATCTCTAATAAGGTGGGAATGGCACTCCGAGGGGAGCATGTCGGGGCAACCCTTTACCTTCAAAAATTACTAGCTGCTAAGATTGGCCTCGGAAAGTGGGCCAAGGGGGGACCTTTCTCCAGGTATCCAAACGCATGTGTCTGCCTTGCCACTTGAGGCTCCTCATCTCTCTCTCTCTGCAGCACACCCGGGGTAGGGATGCAGCCGCTCATTACGCATGCTTAAGCAGGCCTAATTTTAAGTAAACATGTTATACATAGTCAATAGAAATGTGTTCGCTCATGCTAATAAACACAGAGAAAGTACACAGCACTTTACTGAAACAAATGACCTTCCCGTTTGTAAGTGCTGTGTGGACGGCACTAAACTGTATTTTAAATTAATTAGAGGAGTCTCATCTTTTTGGCTGACTGTATGAAATCGGGGCCTTAAATACTCTCTCCCATGACACACGGCTGACCATAAGGCTCCCCCGGGAAATGGCCCTGTGACCAGAATGAAATGGCTGCCCCATTTGCCCTCCTGTATGGTAAGTCCATTGACAGACAGGACCAATGCAGCCCTGACATGGGGCCAGGCTTCCAAAGAGGACTGCTGGTCCCCAGCAGGCCACCAGACAAGTGGGCCAAACTAGCACTCTCCAGAGATGGGGGGAGGCTGGGGCTCTGCAGCACCTCACATAGGAACATGCGAAGCCCCTGAGTTGTCAGAAACAAATTATCAAGGCATATTTTACAACTGCACAAAGCATGGGGGGAAAGTGGAAAAGCAATACGAGTCTATAAAACAACTTCAGTTGATACGCAGACAATTCATAATATGTAAAGTAGCCAGCAAACACTTGGGAAAATGTTCAGTCTTAAACCAGGTGCGGTGGCTCACACCTGTAATCCCAACACTCAGGAGGCTGAGATAGGAGGATCATTGCAAGTTTGAGGCCAGCGTGGGCTACAAAGTGAGCTCAAGGTCAGCCTGAACTGCATAGTAAAACCCTGTCTCAAAAAGACAAAAAAAAAAGTTCAGTCTTGCTATTAAATAATAAAGTAATAATTAAGCACAATTAAAACAGCAAAACTAAACACAGAGTTACCTATGCTGGTAGGCATGAGCCTGTATCACTAGTAGAAACATAAACCCACACTTCTGGATGTCAGTTTGGCCACAGACAATAATAAGCTTATCTTTAAGGTGCCATGAGATAGGCAAGGCATGGTGCTGGGTGGGATGGTACCTCAGGTAACCAGAGATGAAGCAAACATAGATTGTCCTCAGAGATGTAAGTAGCAAAGGCATGAAGAAAACATGTAACAGCTGTGATGCAAATGACCAGCAACATTATGCGGCAGGTCATGTCCCCTTGCTTGACAGACAAGGCAACTGAGGCCCAAGAGGGTGATGGGATTTACCCAGAGTTCCACAGTTGTAAGTAGGAGAGCCGAACACTAGGCAAGATGGACTCCAGAGTCCATGTTTCTCCAACCACACCAGGCAGCAATCTGTCCCAACACAAGAAAGACAGAAATCTGGGGTAGAGCTGAGCACTTCTTTGGCTTCTGCCATGGTGACTGGCACACGGTCACTTCTGCCCCTCCCTGAGACACAGCACAGACATTTTGTCTGTCACGTGGTACAGCAAGCCTGCAGCCGGCCTGGCTCCCCCTGGACCAGGCTTCCCGAGGGGCCTCTGTGCAACTCTCGGGCCCACAGCCATCATTGCGTGGCCCTGACTCTGTGAAGAGGAGCTCGAACTGCCTGCGAAGTGGAACCTCGGGCCAGTGAGCGACTGACGTTCACCGATGCTGCCCTTGAAGGACAAAGGGTGTGGGCAGGGTGAACAGAGGGAAAGGTGCTGCAGGCTGGAAAAACAGCACCCCAAATAACCGGAGTCAGATGAGAAAGAAGTGTGAGGACAGCACAGAGGGGGCAGGGTCTGTGGAAGGCCCAGGGATGTGTCTGGTGAGCCAGGGTGGCAGCAGGCTGTGGAGGACCTGGTAGACTCAAGTACTCGGACAGGTGTCCCCAGGAAGTCACTCAAAACCTACATACATCCAAACTGACCGACAGACTCAACATCCTTCCCATCCAAATCGCAGCGGGTTTCTTTGCGTAAACTGACAAGCTAATGCCAAAATTCATGTGGAAATTCAGGAGACCCAGAATAGCCTAAATGATTCTTGAAAAAGAACAAAGTGGGAGAGCCACACACCCCATTCCAAAACCTGCTACAAAGCTCCAATCATCAAGAATGTGTGGTACTTACACAAGGAGAGATAGACAGATGCAAAGAACTCCTCGTCCAGAAATAAAACTTCCCACTTTCAGGGGGTGATACCCAGCAAGGATGGTGGGAGTCTAGCGGGGGAAAAGGAAGTCTTTTCAACAAAGAGTGCCGGGACAACCTGGGTGTGCAAAAAGATAAAGACGGACCCTCTTTCACAAAAATTAACTAAAGAGGGATCTAGGGCATAAGTGTAAAAGCTAAAACTACAAAACCCTTAAAAGAAAAAGACAGGCACAAAATGCAATAGATTAGGCCATGGGTTCTAATGTACGACATGAAAAGCCCAATCAACAAGGGGAAAGCACGTCAGTGGAACCCTGAAGATGGAATTGTGCATTTCACAAGACACCATCCAGAAAGTGAAAAAAAAAAAAACCCCATGAAATGGAGGAGATTTTTTGCCACCTACACCAGGGATTTCTTAATTAAAATGTGTGCATTTAAATATTCTTACAACTCAAGAATAAAAAGACAATCCATTTCAAAATGAGCAAGGCCTCCGAACATACATTTCTTTCGAGGAGATACACAAATGGCCAATGGCACAGTGGCCGCAGGGAGGGGCGACCTCTTCACACCCTGAGGATGGCCAGAATGAAAATGGTGTTGGTGAAGATGTGGGGACATCACAAGTCTCAGAGCTTTTACCATTTCAGGCAATCTGAAATGGTGCAGCTCCTTTGGGAAACAGTGCCGCAGCCGCTCGAATGGTGAAACAAAGATCATCCATGGCCTGGTAATTCCATACGGTGGCATATCCCCCAGGGAACCAAGGACGCGTGTCCATACAGCACCCTGCACGGAAATTATCAGAGCACTAGCATTCATAGTAGCCGAGAGGAGAAGCAGCAGAAATATGCATCAGTTGAATGAATCACCAGAAAATGGCATATCCATAGCAAATGACATTATTTGGCAATAAAAAAGAATGAAGTACTAATACATGCGAAAACATGGACCAACCTTGAAAACATTATGCTAAGTGAAAGAAGCCAGACACAAAAGACTACATATAGCTGGGCATGGTGGTGTGCACCTGTCATCCCAGCACTAAAGAGGGCTGGGGCAGGAGGATCACCATGAGTTCCAGGCCAACCTGAGCTACACAAGAGTGTTCAAGGCCAGCCTGCACTACACAGTGAGACCTTGTCTCAAAAAAAAAAAAAAAACCCCAGATATATAGCATGTTTCCATTTATAGCAAATAAAAGTGGTAGGTGACATTTATATGTATTCTAGTTACTTATAGGTGGGGAGGATTCTATGTGTGACTTTGGCTAAACTCTTTAATCCCTGAGTATTTACTGTGCCTCAGTTTTCTCATATGTAATATAGGTATAATAATACCATCTCTAAAGACAGATTTTCTGGAGACAGCACAGTATCACATAGGTAAACCATTTCTCACAGAGGCTAGTACATGGAAAACATTGATCTGTATCAGTTATTATAATTATTAGCTAATACAAATAATGGCAGATGACAAAAAGCAACTCAAAGTCTGAAAGTGAGGATACCATCAAGAAAATAAAAACCAGGGGCTGGGGGTTTAGCTCAGCGGCATAAGCGCCTGCCTTGGAGGCGGGCAGTCGTGAGTTCGATCCCCAGTACCGATAAAAACGAAAAAGACAAAAAAAAAAAAAAAAAAGAAAGAAAGAAAATAAAAACCATTTTGCAAGGGGGGGGGCTACTTGCTTTATTAAAATAACAGGTGTGGTGAGGGTCTATTATTTAAGTCTCTTTAGCATGCAAAGCCAGTAAGAAAAAGGCAAATGAAGAGGGGTTCACAGTGGGACCAACCACAGAATGATAAAGCACACGTGGCACAGGACAAGATGGAATTTCATAAATGAACCCTATGCCACAGAAAACGGGCCTCTGTGTTTGCTTTTTTAGTTCCTATTTCACCACTGTGGTTATACAAAGTTGGGTAACAAGTCACTCAAATAAAACAAGTTAGATTTCACCCGAGGAGGAAGCACAGGCGTCCAGAGGCTTTCCAGGTCCATTTCGCCCCTCCATGGCCGAATGGCAGGGTCCAACTCCCCAGGTCCCCGGGGGCCCGGAGCAGCTTCTGAGTCATCTGCGGTTTGCTTCTGCTCAGCTCAGAATTGCTCAGTGGCCAGAATATTTGCTCCAATCTCAATCCTGTGGCTCCACTCGCAGCCCTTTTGTCCTCACTTTCCCTGTGTGCTCCACGGGCCCCACATGGGTCCCGCTCTTGCACTTGAACTCGCTATGCATCATATGGTTTTTTCCCCCTTTGGCTTCTGGGTCCTACAAGAAGCTCAGCTCCACCAACACCAGGGGATGAGAGACAAGCCGTCACCAGGCTTATGCCCCTTCCCAAGTGAACTCTCCTTCAGCAGGAAGCACCTTCCAAGGGATGGGGACCCTTTTTACTCATTTACGGCCCAGAACAGCTGCAAACCCCTGGAGGACCCGGGATGGGCACCAGAAGTAGCAGGCTTTGTTCAGGGGCATGAGGGAAGCCCTCTTAAAATGTTTCCAGGCTGGGGATTTAGCTCAGCGGCATAAGCGCCTGCCTTGTAAGCAGGCAGTCGTGAGTTCGATCCCTGGTACCGATAAAAACGAAAAAGACAAAAAAAAAAAAAATGTTTCCAACAGAAAACACCTCCCAAAAACACCCAAAAAATGGATTTGCAAATACACCTGGAGGAAGGAGAGTCTTGTGCAATGAGCAGAACAAAAGGGTGACTCACGTGTGTCCACCGTCTCTTGGATGGGGATGAAGCCCACGGGCAGCGTGTCCTTGATGTCAATGAGCTTCATGTCCACTAACACATTCCCCAAATGACTCTTGGGAAGAAAGAAAAGAGACACAGACTGTTAATGTCACCGTGCCTGCAGTGGGTTTGCTATTCTGCCTTCAAGATGCATATTTAACACAATGACTCATGCAGCTTTACTACGGCAGGTTAATTAGAGTAGGTGACACTTAATGTTCCCCAGCGGTTACACGGGGACTCTGGTGGCCCCCGGGAAATACTTTCATCTGCAGAACCTCAAAGCCACTTACTCACATGTGGCCTTTGTGAGCTGGATAAACAACCCAGAAGACGCTGTAGACATAACCCAGCAGAGGGCAGCTGTGCACGTGTCCCCAGATCTGGCCACCACTCAGCCCTGAGCAGCTGATCTCAGGTCCAGTAGGCTTTAGAAACAGCAGATTTCTGGAGCACTTGCAAGGGTGAGTGGAATCTAAACCAAAAGGTATCAATCCCACTCCTAAGTGATCATTGCTCTTCATACTGACACACACTTAGGTGGCTAGATACATTTTACAAAATCCCAAGAATCATAAACTAAGGCAGAGTGAAAGCCGGGCTGCCTCAGTATTGCACATCTTCTCAAACGACACGCACAAGGCTCTTAAAGCTCCTATTTAGTAGTAGTATATGCGGTCCACTGTGCACAGTTTCTGTAACCAGTGTAAAAACATCTTTTGAAGACAGTACAGCACCATTCTATAATTGCAAGAGAGAATTCTTTGTGAACACACCAGCACTAGCAGCCTGCATTTTACACTGGAAACAGCCTGAAGAAATCTGCCCTATAATGTAAATACACAGGGCCACCGTGGAGATTTCATTACCATCTTCAGAGTTGTCTGCATCCTAGTTCCGCTGTCTCTAGTTAGAGCCAGTTAAGGGAAGAATGATGGGCTCCGATCCCAAATCTCTTCTGTTAGGGTACTGGCGCTGCACTGTGTGCCCATTCTCCAGAAATGCCTCATCCCTGAAGCCCAGTGTGCACAGGCCTTGGTTCTCACACTTGTCTATGAACCTGCGTGAACATCGGAGGGTCAGCCTGTCACCCTGCCCTAGTGGCAACCCCTCAGGTCACTGTTCCTACTTCTCAGGGAAGAGCTCCTGTCTCTGTCTCTGTGCCTGGGGTCCCAGACCCCACCTCTGTCTGGGTGGTACCGGCGTTTCTGAAAGCTAGCAGGGAATTTTCTCTGAGTAAATGAAGCCATCATCCTCTCTCTGGGCACTTCCTGGTTACCTTCGTGTCAATGTCTATATTTGTAAGATTATTTGTTTAATATCTTTTCTGTCTCTCCACTAGAACTTAAGAAACTACTCCTCCTGTAAATCCAAACCTGGCACTGTTCTTGACCCATCCTGGGTAGTGGATAATTATTTGCTGGGTACATTTTTCCATGGGGTGTTATCTGAGAGTCAAAAGTCAAATCGGATTTGCTTGGAGGGCAAATCTAAACCATACCATAAAAATCCTGGAAGCATGTTCAGTGAATACACAATGAATTAAAATGCACAAATGGAGTAACTTCTTCAATTGAACTATGAAGGTCGCAGTGGAAAGTGTGACCTCCGGCCAGTGTTTCCGTGGCCCTGTCGTCACAAAACTGCCTCTCTCTCAGCACTCTGGTATTTGCCAACAATTTTGTATCTCAGGTGCTGGGTCTCAGACGATTTTCAGCACAGCAAATGGAACGTGCAGGCTTCCCTGATGTGGAGTAAACCTCTGGCCCTGCAGGAAGGGCTTGAACCATTCGCCTAACTTGCAAACATCAGCTGCTCTCACAATCGCCTGATCTAATCTATCACAATTTTTTTTTCAGAGCAGTTGCCTTTCCATGTCATCACTGCTTTCTGCATTGAGAAATTAACAACCGGGCATGTTTTGCTGCCCTGGAGATGGATGGGCATTCATCAATACCCTTCTCAAATGTCTTCTGCTTGACAAGTTGGGCTTCACAGAAGTCAACTGCAAACCACTTAGCGACCCCACACCCTACACCCTCTACGAATCTCCCTGATCATAAAACCAGAACATTGGTGATGCGGCCATTAAAAGAAGCATCGGGAAACCCTCCTGTGCATACAAAACGGGGGGCTCCGCCATGGAAGCTTCCCACAGCCCGAGTGTGGCCTCCTTGCTGCTACACACAGGGTTTAATCCTGTAGGTCTGCGACACCATTAATTTTGCTTGTTCCTCTCCCCTCCCCCACCGTGCACTCCTTCATTTCCTCCTCATAAATATGAAGAACGTATTCCCAATCCTTGTTGAGCAAATGATTCATGCCAAAAGCCCAATATGTACTGACTCAGGGTATTTATATTGTCTCTGGTAGCCAGTATTTGCTAGTATACTGTAATTATTTTTGACAACCTTGCATTTAAGGTAGCCACAGATAACCAACTTAATATTCAAATGTTCATAAATCCTTCTGTTTAATATCCTCCCTACCTAATCTATGTACATTATTATTACAGGTAATGCAGAAAGTACAGGGCATGAAAAGAGCAATTAATCTCGATCTTTCCCCAGGAAGTAATGTCACTCCAAAGCCGGGTTTCTGTATTAATAGCATTATTGGGGGAAAAGAATTTAGGTTCCCAAGGAGGCTCCCCAAACTCCTACGCTGGGAGTCTCAAGTTGCCTAATTAAGGGTCTTCCCAGTCTTGAGATCCCATACCTTCCTGCGCAGTTGTAAGATTTGTGTTCTGCAAAGCCTTGGCTCAGACTGCAGGGCTGGGACAGGTCAGATGTCCTGGGTTGCAATGGGCCCCTGCTGCACCTCTGATTTGATCCCAAATCTTTGGCTTGATTGTTTGGGACTCATTCGTTCTTCCCACCAGTCTTGTGAGGGTGACTCCCAGGCCTTTGCTCTTTGCTTTCTCGTACCCCTTCATCTCGTACCCCATGAAGGACTGTGAGATCAATGAGCTGTCTCTAGCACCCACTCAAGACTCCCAGAACTAACAAGCCCAGGGACTTCTCTCTGCCATGGTGGACTTGTAACCTTCCCCACCCCTGGGGAGACAGAAGAATAACAGCTTTTGGGGGAAAATACAACCAAAACCAAAACCAAAAGGGGTCACAGAGATGGTGGTTGTCCTCTGAGACTGCAGAACTAGAGCCTCTCTGGGCAGGGAAGGCCAGGAAGAAACACGTGGAAACCACAAGGGGAGACTGTGTGGACAGGCATCCTGGACTCCTGGACACAGCCCAAGCTGTGATGAGGATGCTGACCTGCCACAGGAAGAGCGGCCAGTGGACAGAACAGAGGTGACAAGAGCTAAAATCAGAACTAGGCTCAGAGAAGAGCAGGAGTAAATTCCAGGACAAAAGAGTTGGTGGTACCCTGTGGGAGGGCGGGCAGGAAGGATAGGCCGTGGGGCTGATGACCCCATGAGCCAGAAGTCTGGGAGGGCAACAGCACCATCAGACCTGTTCTTCGGTTGTCCTCAGATCAGGGTGAATCCCAGGGACCTGCACCATGCACAGCAAGCTCAAGGCACAACCACAGGGGAACGCTCTGGCTCAGCCACCATCTCCCTGGTACAGAAGAGGCACTCGCGCCCTGTATCAAAAAGACTCCTTGATCTTAGCATCTACACTTTGCCTGACTCCATAGATGCTACACTTTATAACAAGGAAATATACTGCTTGTGTAATTAGGAGATTTTACCCCTAGTCTTGGGCACATGAGAAATCATTCTTCTAACATAATGTCATCAACAAATAACAGGGGTGGGGGGTGGAAGGGTGCAGGCCAGCGGTCCATAGTCAGCAAACATGGAAGGGACCCACGACAGCACCCTGGCCAGGGGCTGAGGTGGGGAGAAAAACTTCTCTCTTTCAGGCTTCTGCATGATGTATGAAGTTCTTGTGTTGGTTTGGTTTTTCTCTTTTAATTTTTAAATTTTTATTAGTACATGTTTGCAGTACACAATGATTACATTCACTGGGGGAGTTGCTACACGTACATAAAACGTCTTAATTTTCTTTACTCCCTCTTCTCTTCCCCTCCCTGCCCCTTCTGAATCTATCTCTTGATCCTCTTGTTTTTGTTTTGTTTTGTTTAACCATAGACATAATCAGTTTTAAAATTGGTAAAAATATCTCAAAAAATAATTACGTGCCCAGGAAAGAGACAAAAACATTTAAACCAACAATACAGCATCCCCCTTAAAAATGAAAAATCTGACTGCTCCATATATTTGGGTCAGAGAAGACAACTGGCTTGGGGCAAGCCTGAAACTCTTGAATCTCAATGTCATCCCTTAGGGAAAGGAGGTAATGCTGGGAGCCACTGTCTAAGGGGAGACCGACCTGCACATGCAGGGAGCTCAGAGCAGCCCTGCAGCACAGGAGATCGCTAACGCTACTTCTTGTTTTTCTAAGCCACCTATTAAAATTCCTTAAAAGGAAAGCCTTTTATGTCTTTAAAGTTTCCTAATTTTGGGCCCAGGTACCAAAAAGAGCATGCTAGGAAATGGGCACATATAGATGCTTTCTTATAAAAATAATGAAATGTCCTGTCACCTAGAGACCCAAAATGGAAAAAAAATCTCCTTTGAAACAAGGCCAGGTCTGGGACTGGGGGTGGGGAATGAGTGTGTAAGTGTGTGTGTGTGTGTGTGTGTGTGTGTGTGTGTGTGTGCGTGCGCGTGTGCCTATGTGATATGAGTCTTCCTTTCATCGGGGCTGCATTAAATCCACTCCACCGGATGACTCACATCCAAACTGGTCTGTGATTTGTCACTTGGAGGAAAGGTAGGCAAATGAGAGCTGCAAGAGAAATTTCCTGGTTTCCTTCTGAGAGCACATTTTAATGGAATTCACTGTACACTTGGGTACGTGGTTAATAACACTGTTAATAAATGAAACACAGCGCCGGCTGCTGATTCTACCCAGTTCACTAAAACCTTAGATAAATTAATAAGGTAATGAAAATAAACCACAACAACAAAAAGAGAAAATTCCGAGCAGGAATATATGTTACTCCTGCTCACTCAGCAAATGGAAATTACTGCTAGACTTACATTTTCTTTGGAGAATGATCTGGTGAAACACAGGTATCTGGTAACCTTGGACTTGAACAAGCCGTCTTTCCAGAGGTCAGCGTCCACACCATCTGCTGTCTGCGCAACCTGCACCGGAGAGACAGGAGAGGACCGCAGGTGAGACAAGATGGAACTGAAGGTGTGCACACGCGGCCCCTCCGTACCTGCTCCAATTAACACTGGCCCGAATTCTCAGGGCATCTCATTAGTTCGTTTCACCAGGCACTAGGAAAAGAGTTTCCAAAGGGGAAAAGAGAGAGTGTGAAAAATACAACTTCTAAAAATATTGTCCCTGGGGAAGCCACTGATTAAAGACACCCTGACAAAAAAATGGTCCTAATGAGAAAAGAGCAACTTTTGTTGTAATGGACCAAGAAGGGGCTGGGAAGTCAGCACATCGGCTGCTTATTACCATGCACTCCAGGGACGGGGCAGGGTGCAGAGAAGGCCCGATGGGCTGTGAAATGCACCTGGGAGGCACTGCCTGTGGGGGACCTGGCAGGGGTTTCTGGGCACTTCTGCCAAGGGGTTCCGGAGGAAATGGGTCAGGAAAACTGGTTCCACACTGCACCATCTTCTTGCTACGAGCCTTGAAGGTGGAATTTGAGGTCAGAAACTGCCTCATGATAGAATAAAAACAATCAGTTCCCTGTTCTGGTCTCACTAGGAAGCCATTTTCTCACATCCAGCTGTAGAAATTGTCCTCCAGGAAACGTTTTAATCTGCCTGACTGCCCTGGACTGGGGAGCAGGCACAGTCATGTGCATGCTGTGGCTTCACAAGGCAACTGGACGGAGGAGCAGAGGGCCAGAGGAGCCTGCTGTTCCCTTCCTTCCTCTCTCTCCAGGCTGTTGTTTTTCTAGGTGGCCTGGGCTGGGTCCAGCAGCCCAGTGCGACAACATCATGGCACCAGGTGACAAGCAATCACTTTCCACACAGTGCCAGGCCCATGAAGCCAGGGCCCTGAAGGGGAGAAGGCCAGCCCCACCTTTCAGGACCTATGGGAAGGGGTCTTCAACTGTCCGTTTTTGGACTGCTTTGGGGTTGTTCCCTGGAGGCTTTTCCTAGATCAAGGTCTAAGCCTTGATCTGACAAGCTGCTGGCCATTCTGACAAAGTGCTGAGAGCGGCTCCTTTCTTTACCCACAGCCGCTGTGATCCGGGCTCATCCCATGCGCACTGAATGCGTGCACCACACTGTATCCGCAGTCCTGGCCCTGACAGGCCCAGGTGCAGTGGTGGGGGCTCCCCAGGACAAGCCTGGTGCCTACGCTCTCTGTGGAGGAGAAGCCACAAAGTCAGCTGACACTAGAAAAGAAGCTTGTTTTTCAAATAGAACAATTGTAAATTAACAAACACAAGCACCAGGAAAAAAAGGCCCTTATGCTGAGTATATAAATCTCTTTGACCTGAAAGCCGAAGGAGGATTGGTATGGGGATAATTTTAGGAGCCGTCTGCTCCGTATGCGTGCAGTGACCCCTCACGCTCTGAAGAAAGTGGAGCGGCTTTGTAAGTGGTTTCCCCCCAATGGCCCACTTGGAGATTCCAGGAAAGTGTGAGACTGCGGGCTGTGGTCTCGGCCTCCACAGCTTGCCTTCCTCCTACAAGAGATGGACCCAACCGCCTCTCCCGTTCAGTCACACGGAGAACCTCCCCCAGCTAACCATCTTCAAGACAAATGGCACAGTGTGAAGTGGACCAGGAAGGCTGGGGTGGGTGGTGGGGAGCCAAAGACCTGGTGAGGAAATGGTGCCATGGAATCCCCAAACAGACCTGCCTGGAAGCCCAGTGGCTTCAGAAGTCCAATGTCCACCTGGGTACTGTGGACATTCTGTCCTGCTGGAGTCACTGCTGGGCTAGAGCACTCCACAGAGCATTTGCAAAGACTGCCCAGCATTTCTGAGCTGACATGAGGACACTGTGGTCTGACATCAAACCAGGTCTGTCATAAATGTCAGGATCCAAAAAGTCCAAAAACGTCCCTTGGGTTTCCGTTCCCACCCACAGTCCTCTGAGATGCCTTCCCCATCTCTGGACCTCGATCTGATCTTCAAAGGCAAATACACATGTGGGGGTTCGCCCCCAGCCATCTGGCCTGGATTATAAGCTTCACTGGGACCAGGCCAATGCCTCTTCTGCTTCCCATTTTACCCCCTGAACCAAGCAGAGCCTGACACAGGTGGGCTCTATCAAAACTTGCTAAAATAAAGAAGGAATCAACCGCTGAATCAGAGCAAAGTCAGAGTCACACACTCTGCCCGCCCCCCCCCCCAGGCGAGGGACTAAGAATGTTTTTAAATAAAGTTTTTAAGACTGAACCCACTGAGCTGAGTGGGACACTTGGACCTCTTTAGTACCCAGGATCTTCCTCCCTCCACTCCCAAATGCCCCACTGTGAAGCATGTACCCACTGCAGCACTGAGGCCACCTGTGCTTCTGGTTCGCTTGTCTGTTCTCTGCCTTATTCCCAAAACAATTTTCTGTGTTTCACACGACTGCTGATCACAGTGCCTCTAAAGCATGTTATGGGTCACACACACACACACACACACACACACACACACACACCCATGTTTGCACCACCTTCCTCTCTTTCCTGGGGTACAGGAGTGGGTGTCCCAAAATAACCAGGGCATTGGCAGATCTCTTCCCTGCCATATTCTTCTAAAGTGACAAGTAGCAAAAGTAGGAACCCACTAAAATGAGGAGCAAGGGAAGAACCAAACACAAGAGAGATGCCGACAAATTCTTGGAGCTGTGGAAAAGTGGGAGTTAGCCAGGGAAAGGGGCAACAATGTAATGGTCTTCAAGGGCCAGTTCAGTGCCCAGGGCCCAGTACCACACACTGCTGAGGTAGATAGGGCTGCAGGGAGAGGGAGGGAGCTCAGCACTGAAGTGGTTGGGCCAGAACAAGGTCCACAAACCAAGCTGAGAGACTACCAGATTCCACATGCATTTCAGGAGTGTTTCTGCAGAAAGTGTGCTGGTGAGGCTCAGGGTGCTGGAGGGAAGGAAGGTGGGGAAGGAGCTGGAGGAACAGGTGCCCTCCAGATTAAAAACAGGGGAGCTAGATCTGCACAATGAAGGGATGTCCCCACCACCACCACCATGCAGCTCACCCTTCCAGACCTCTCCCCAATGCTGGATGAGGAAGCGCTTGTCTCAGCAGACACTGAGGAGGACTAGAGGAGGAACCCCACACAGATAAAGGGGCGCCCTGCTGCAGTGCCCACCATCGAACAGGCTACTCAGTCAGGAGCTCAAACCAGGAGCCAGTGCCTCGCTTCTAGGTATCAACCAGCAAGGATCAGACTCAGGGGTCTTGGTACAAAAGAAAAAAACTAGTAGAAAATAACACGAATTTAAAAAGACAAAGCAGCAGAGAGGGGACAGTGTAAGAGCTGAAAGCAACACCCGCAGGAGGTGGGAATGGGCTGGCGAGGCTGACAGCTTCCCTAATAGCCTTCTGGTGCTGGTTTCTAACTGCAGGTATACACTCGTGACTCCTTTTAGACAAATACCCAGTGCGGCACACTGCACGCTCCTTGCCTGGCGGTGAGACTGCCTCAGTGCGTTCCCAGGCAGGTGACCCCACTCAGAGCGGTGCCCGCCACTGATCCCAGCCTTCCCCACTGCTAGCATCCACCGCAAGTAAACTTTCAGACGCCCCAGGAGCAGCCACAGCTCCAGGGGCATCTCTGGGACGGTGGCAGCCAGTGCTGCAGCACCAAGAGTGGCGGATTGGCCTCTGTCTCACACAGTGCCAACCTCTCACTTCCTCCTCTGGAATCAGACTGGGGTCACGTTTCTTGGCAGGTACAGAGGACAATGTGTCAGGAAACCGGGGAGTAGCCCTCCGGGCAGGAGACTGGCTACTGGCCACTGACCTGTACTACCGTCTGGCTGTAGAGGAGCCCTTGAGGGAGAGTGGGAGAAACCTCCCTGACCTAAAGGACAAGGTGGAGCTGGAGTCTTTCCTCAGTACTTACTGTCTGCAGGAGCCATCAAACTTAAGCGTTAGCATGCGTGTGGACACACACACACACACACACACACACACACACACACACACGGCCAGGGATACCGGCATTATGGCCTCCCAATTTACGGAGGACAAAATGAACACTTAAGAAAACCTGGCCACCAGCACTGAGAACACTCACCTCCCAGGTGAGAACCAGACTGCCGGAGCCCTGCCTTGGGTGGAGGCTGTCAGAGCACTGAGGGGCTGAGCAGGCTACCTGGATCAACCCCAAGGACCCACTCAGGCAGACGAGCCATTGCAGAGATCCACCAGGTGTCACCATGGCAAAAGGAACGGGGATATAAAGATCAATACAGGGCCGAATGCCCAGATGAGGGGACCCTTGAGGACACTTTCTGAAGGCTGCAGGGTTTGAGTGCTGGGCTCTGATGACAGAAGTGGAAGACAAGCCATGTGTTACGGTTTATACATCCCTCCCTAATCCTGTGTGGGATACGTCGCCCGTGCAACAGTGTTAAGAGGTACAGGCTCTGAGGGCCCCACACGATCCTCCAGCAGCAGGCGCTTGGCCCCTACTCTTTATTTCTTGCACCCCAGCCTCGGGACACCTTCTGCCCAGTTACTATAGCAGCAGGCCTGCACCACACGCAGGCCCCGGAGGGTGGGTGTCCCGGCCTCTGGAACCCTGGGCCAAATGAGCAGAAATTGTTTATAATCCACCCAGTCTGTGACATCCTGTTACAACATCAGGAAACAGAATAAAGACACAGTCACTCTCATTTTCTTACACCAAAATCACTTAATTCATTTTGTGAGAACTAAGTCTCAGCTAGCTGCCCTCATGGCTTTAAGAGGCCTCATACAGTAGGGTAGGCCCAGTGTGTTAATTAAATCCTTGTCAGACACAGAGGTGCCCCAGGTTCCCCAGTGAAGGACAGTGCACAAGGACACAGGCACTCGGAAAATGAGAGGAGCCCAGGCTACCAACCTGGGAAGACAGTGTGCTCTGGGCCCAGGGGGCCTCGGGGCTGGCACACAGACAGTGGCCGTCTGCCCTCTTTTCCACGCCCCCTCTGCTCTCTGCCTGCAAGCCTGCCCACCC